AGAAGAAACAGAGAAAGAAGGCTTAAAATAAAAATGACAACTAATAACTATCTATCAATAATAACTTTAAATGTAAGTGGCTTAAATGTTCCAATCAAAAGACGTAGGGTAGGTGATTGGATCAGAAAACACGACCCATATATGTACTTTACAAGAGACCCACCTCAAGACAAAAGACTAACACAGGATGAAAGTGAAGGGATGGAAAAAATTTTCCAAGCAAATGGAAATAAAAAAAAAAAAAAAGCTGGTGTAGCAATACTCATATCTGACAAGATAGACTTCAAAACAAGGGCCATAATAGGAGACAAAGAAGGTCACTATATAATATTAAAAGGATCAATCCAACTAGAGGATATAAACCTAGTAAACATATACACACCAGATTTGGGAGCACCAAAATATATTTAAAAACTTCTGGAGGACTTCAAGGGAGAGATCAATAGCAATACGATCATAGTGGGTGACTTGAACACCCCACTGATACCACTGAATAAATCTTGCAGACAAAAATTAACAAGGACATAGAGTCCTTAAATGACAACCTAGATCAGTCGGACTTAATTGATATTTACAGAACATTTCACCCCAAAGCTGCAGAATATAAATTCTTCTCAAGTGCAAACGAGACAGTCTCAAAGACAGACCACATGTTAGGACACAAAGTAAGTCTCTACAAATTCAAAAAGATTGAAATAATACCAAGTATCTTCTCGGATCACAATGGCATGAAACTAGAACTCACAACAAAAACTCACAAAAACATTCAAACACTTGAAGGCTAAATAGCATTTTTTAAACAACGAATGGGTTACCAAGGAAATCAAGGAAAAAATTAAAAGCTTCCTGGAAACTGATGAAAACGAACACACACCACCACCAAATCTATGGGATGCAGCGAAAGCAGTCCTGAAAGGGAAGTTCATAGCACTACAGGCCTACCTCAAGAAACAAGAAATGTTCTCTCTCTCTCCCATTTTTTTTTGTGTGTGTGGGAGGCAACCAAATTTTTAGTGGCCTTGCTTCCTCAAGGCAGAACAAAAAAAAATTTCCTAATTGACTCTCTAACACTACAACTTAAAGACCTAGAAAGAAAACAAAAAGAAAAACCCAGAGCAAGTAGAATAAAAGAAATAGTAAAGGTCACAGCAGAAATAAATGACATAGAGACTAAAAAAATCAGTTCAAAAGATCAATGAAACAAAGCTGGTTCTTTGAAAAGATAATCAGGATCAATGGACTTTTAGCCAGACTCCAAGAAACAAAAAGAGAGGACCCAAATAAACAAAATCAGAAATGAAAGAAGAGAAGTAACAACTGACACCACGGAAATACAAAGGATTGTTGAAACATACTATAAACAATTATACACCAACAAACTAGACAATCTAGGCGAAGTAGACAAATTTCTAGAAACACATTTTCCCAAAACTGAAGCGGGAAGAGATGGAACACTTGAACAGACCAATAACAGCAAAGGAAATTGAAGATGTAATTAAGAAACTCCCAGCAAACAAAAGCCCAGACCCAGATGGCTTTACAGGATGGGTTGACCGAACATTCTAAGAAGATCTAATACCCATTCTCCTCAAACTATTCAAAACTATCCAAGAACATGGGAGACTTCCAAACTCATTTTATGAGGCCAGCATAATCCTAATTCCAAAACCGGAAAAAGACAGTACAAAGAAAGAAAACTACAGGCCAATATCCCTGATGAACACAGATGCCAAAATCCTTAACAAAATATTAGCAAATTCAATCCAGCAATAAATACATCAAAAAAATTATTCACCATGACCAAGTGGGATTCATCCCAGAGATGCAAGGCTGGTACAATATTTGCTAATCAATAAATGTGGTACACCACATAAACAAAATGAAAGATAAAAACCATATGATCATATGAATAGATGCTGAAAAAGCATTCGACAAAATCCAGAACCCATTTGTGATAAAAACGCTCAGCAATGTGGCAATAAAGGGATCATATCTCAAATAATAAAGGCCACATATGAAAAACCTACAGCCAACATTATGCTTCATAGGCAAAAACAAAAAGCATTTTTCTTAAGAACAGGAAAAAGACAGGGATGTCCACTTTTGCCACTCTTATTTAACATAACAATTAGACATGAAGAAAAAAATAAAAGGGATTCAAATTGGAAAGGAGGAAGTGAAACTGTCATTATTTGCAGATGACATGATATTGTACACGGAAAACCCTAAAGACGCCATCAGAAATCTACTAGACTTAATAAATGAATTTGGCAAAGTAGCAGGATAAAAAATTAACATCAAGAAATTGACGGCATTCTTATATACCAACAATGAGCTCACAGAAAGAGAAACTAAAAAAAAAAAATCCCACTTACAATCGTAGGGAAAAAAATAACATACCTAGGAATCAACTTAACCAAAAAGTAAAGGATCTCTGCACAGAAAACTCCAGATCATTGAAAAAAGAAATAGAGGAAGATATAAAAAAAATGGAAACATACACCATGTTCATGGATTGGGAGAATTATCATTAATAAAATGTCCATATAACCTAAAGCTATCTATAGATTCAATGTAATACCCATCAAAATACTAATGATATACTTCACAGAACAAGAACAAATACTCCAAAAGTTTATATGGAACCAAAAAAGGCGCCAAATAGCCACCACTATCTTGAAAAAGAAGAACAAAGATATCTGTATCACAATACCAGATATCAGGTTATACCACAAAGCCATTGTAATCAAAACAGCCTGGTACTGGCACAAGAACAGGCATATAGATCAGTGGAGCAGAACAGAGAACCCAGAAATTGACCCAAGATATTATACTCAATTAATAATATAACAGAGGAGGCAAGTGCATCAATAAATGGTGTTGGGAAAATTGGACAGCTACATGCAAAAAAAATAAAACTGAAGCTAGACAACCAACTTACCCTATATACAGGAATAAACTCAAAATGGATTTAAAAAACCTTAAACATGACTCGTGAATCCATAAAAATTCTAGAAGAAAATGTAGGCAACAAAATTTCAGACATCATACACAGCAGAATTTTCACTGATTCAGTAGAAGTGGATAAAAAGGCAGTGATACATATACACAATGGAGCACTATGCAGCTATAAGGCAAGAGAAAGGAGAAAGTGAACACACGGGACTACATCAAACTCAAAAGTTTCTGCACAGCAAAAGAAATAACCATCAAAATGGAAAGGGATCCCACTGTATGGGAGAGCATAATTGCCAATAATACATCAGGTAAGGGGTTAATTTCCAAAATATATAGAGTACTTACACAACTCAAGAAAAGAAAGACAAAGAACCCTATTAAAAAATGGGCAGAGTACCTAACGAGACACCTCTCCAAACAGGACATAAAAATGGCCAAGAGACATGAAAAAATGCTCTGCGTCACTAATCATCAGAGAGATGCAAATTAAAAGAACATTGAGGTATCACCTCACAGTTGTTAGAATGGCCGCTATCAACAAATAATGAAAGAAGCGCTGGCGCGGGTGTGGAGAAAAGGGGACTCTAGTACACTGCTGGTGGGAATGCAGACTGGTGCAGCCACCATGGAAAACACTATGGTGTTACCTCAAAAAAGTTAAAATTGAACTACCATTTGACCCAGTGATCCCACTTCTAGGAATGTACCCTAAGAAGCCTGAAACACCAATCAGAAAGAATATATGTACCCCCATGTTCATAGCAGCACTATTTACAATAGCTAAGATCTGGAAACCGCCCAAATGTCCATCAGTAGACGAGTGGATTAAAAAACAGTGGTACATATACACAATGGAGTACTATGCAGCTGTAAAAAAGAAAGATCTCTTATTTTTTGAGATGACATGGAGGGACTTGGAAAGTATTGTCCTATGTGAAACAAGCCAAGCAGAGAAAGACAAATATCACATGATTTCACTTATTTCTAGAATATAATGAACTAAACAAACTGATGAACAAAATAGACCCAGAGTCACAGAAATAGGGTACAGACCGACAGTCCTCAGAAGAGCGGGTAGTGGGGGAGGAAAGAAATAAAGCACAGAACTTATGTGCATGTATGCATAACGGATGGACATAGACAACAATGTTGGGGAAGGGGCTGGGGGGATGGCGAAGGAGGGTGTCAATGGGGGGGGGGACATCTGCAACAAAAATAATGAAAGAAACAACAAACAAAAAAACCCCATCCAATCTCTCGAGTTTCTAATTAAAATATAAATGAACTTTTCACTGTGAGTAATGCTTTTTGTAATTCTTTCTCCAAGAATACCAATTTCCAACTTTGAATGAGGGATAGCATATTTTCTGAACAAGTGTCATCCAGGAGTATATTTTGAATATAACAATTAGTTTTCCAGTTAAAACAGAGAAAATGAGTGCAGGGAAATTAATTTTTGTTCTCTACAAAGGTTACTTTTTTATTTTTCAGTAATTTTAAATGAGAGACCTATTAAGATTAGCATAGCTAAATAAAATAGATTGTATCTTGGTAGAAAATATGAGTACACATGGTAAACAGCGGTGTGTGTATGTGTGTGTGTGTATGTGTGTGTGGCTTTTGGGGATATTCAGTATCCTAAATTTTCTTCTGATGTGTTTATTTGTCTTTGTTGGTGGAGTTAAAAGATTATTTTCACTGCTGCAACTTGACCAGAATCTGTGGTATTTGCAAACCTAGCATAAGCTCTAGGCCTCAGTCCTTTTCGTGTTGTTTCTCATCCCACGTCACTGGAGTGCAGGGGATGGGGCTTCAGGGCAAGCCTGGTCTCAGATGTCCTTTCAGTTAGCTGCCTGCTTTTCACTTTGTGACGATTTCTACCATAAAGAAAGTAGATGCAGTGCTCATCTTTCCTTGAAATGTACTATGAGTTAATCTATATTTCTAGTGCAAATGTAGTGAGTTATAAAATTTTTAAAAATGAGAACCAGCTTAAGTCCGTATAACAATCCCAAATGACATTCATTGTTTTTTTTTTCTAGAGCTGACTTTTTTGAAGATGAGGCAGTTGAGCAGGTTTTGAAATATAATCCTTGGTGGACTAATACATATTCAAAAATGATGGCCTTTTTGGAAAAGAGTCAAGAGCAAGAAAATCATGCTGTATTAGGTAAGAAACTTAAAAATAGGCTTATTTTTTAACTGCCTCATAGAGTGAAGATATTTTTTCGGTTTGCTTATTTTTTTAAGTGTCTCTCTATTGTTCAAAGTATTACAGATGTCCCTCCTTTTTTCCCTCACTGACCCCTTCTATTCCACTCCTGCCCCCACCCCCACCCCCAGCCTTCACCTCACTGTTGTCTGTGTCCAGTTCTTTGGTTTATCTGTTCCTGCCCCCATTCCCCTTCCCTCTGAGTTTCATTAGTCTGTTCCCTACTTCCATGTGGTTTGTTAATTTTGGAGATAGGGTCTTTAACTTGGTCTGGAAAATGCCACTCAATATTAGATTTATTTGTCTGAATTCTTCTGAAGTATGTTTACTTTTGAATCAATGGAATCCTTTTTATTTTATTTTTATTAAAAAATGTTTTTTTTCTTTATTGATTTTAGAGAGAGAGAGAGGAAGAGAGACCGAGAGAGAGATAGAAACATTGATGAGAGAGAACATCCATTGGCTGCCTGTTACATGCCCCGCTAGGGATCGGGCCCACAACCTGGGCATGTGCCCTGACAAGGAATCGAACTGGTGACCTCTTGGTGCATGGGATGACGCCCAACCACTGAGCCACAATGGCCGGGCTGGAGTCCTTTTTAAAATGTTTGTTTGCTTGTTTGGTAAATGTAGGTCATTAGCACATAGGACATTTGTAGTTGAGGAATCTGCTTGAGAGATCTGAACATTACTCTGTGGGAAGAGCATTTGAGTGTTAGTGATGGTGAGAGGAGACCCAGTTTTAACGTTGTCTGTTGAATGAATTTGGAATGTCCTCTCCAATTGTTTCACAAATGGTTTTATATAGAAGTTGGAATGTTATCCTCATACCTGTACCTTACAGAGAACAGATGGGCCGGATTTTAACAGTGGAAGCTGAACTGGGGGTCAGGAGTGTCATGAATCATAGGAGATGGCTGTGCCATATTTAACATCAAGCCATATGTTATCCACAGAGAGTACTCTTAGATGGTCGTTTTATTACCACCTTCTCTAAGTGAGACGCTCTATATTAAATCTGTAAGTTAGAATTATAACAGTTTCAGAGAGATCAGGAGTAGAAGGCCCATGTTTTCTGTCATACTGATTTGGCTTTTATTTATGTTCTATATTGAAAATAAAATTTTATTGTCTAAATAAAAGGAATACACACACACATGTATATACACATTAAATGGAATATAGAATCTCCCCAGTCCAAATTCCTCTTCCTAAAAATACTCACTGTTAACCATTTTGGGGTATATTTTTAATGTATATACCCACATCTAAATATTTGCCTTAAGAAATTTATATACATAGAATCATAGATATTCTCTTCTTATCTTGCTTTTCTCAAGTTTTTAGTATATGCTGTGTATCTTTTATATTAGCAATTACAATTTTATCTGCTACTTTTAATGTCTGCCTAGTATAAATCATTGTATCATGATTTATAGACATTTGGGCTGTCTACTACTGATGGAAATTTGGCTTGTATACAGTTTTCTGGAGTGGCTTCCTTTGATTACTAAATCTGAACTTGCTATATATTGGGTCTCTACTGCATGACAGTATTTTAATTTTCTGCATAACAATACAGTAGCCTCTTCTATAGTGTCAACCGTAGTGCCTGTTATATAGTAGGTAGTCAAAAAATATTTATATAAAATAAATATTGCAGTAAGTATTTTTGTAGTTAGGTTTTATTAGAGTTTAGGTGGTTTCTACCAGATTGAAAAATTACTACTGTGATCTTTTAGAATTGACTCTACTGCACAACAGAAACTCATTTATAAATAATGATTCTTGTTACATTGTTTTTAACAGATTTTTGGTTTTAGATTTTGAGTTTAAGAATCTTTCAGAAACTTCCCACATGGTATAGACAAATTTTCAGGTTTAGGATTGCTAACACAATATAGATAGTAGCTGTATATGCCTTGAAGATCTGCTCAGAAAGTTTGCTCAAACTTAAATCATCAAGGCCATCTAGGGCTGAATTCTTTTTCCAGTGTTAGTGCAGTGTTTTAATGAGGTGGTGGTGTGGAAGAAAGTGGTGGTTGCATAGTTATGTTTTCCATCCACCAGGGTGAGCTAGTTGCCCTAAACATCAAGAGAAGGCAGTATTGCCTTTTATTTACATTCTAACTTGCTGTGCTTTGATCAGTGGTAGCTTGTTCTGGGTCTTCTTTTCTGTGTCACTGTGCTGTGAATTAATTCTCTATGTATAATTTTAACAGAGTAAGCTCGGCTGTTTATGTAGCCACTGGCCCTCCTGACCCTCCATCTTCATCCGACCCACTGCATATATCCAGTCTGGTCCTTCGAGAGTGGTCACAATCCACTAGGTGGTTTGCTCTAAACTCATCTTTTAAACAGCCAGGGCTTGTGATCTAAGTTAGAAGGACTTGAGTTCTGTGTAGTAGGGTTAAGGATAGAACATAAGTTAAACATAGGGCTTGAGGTTGGATGTCGTGGTCTACCACAGGCTTGCTGTGTGACGTTGCTGTGGAAGTCCTGTACCACCCTCACAGAATTGTCATGGGCCTGAATAAGATGATGTAGTTAACATCCTTATCATATGGTAATTGTTAGAAAATATTATTATAGAGTAAAATCAATGGCAGGAGAGCCAGGAATTGAATGGCTTCTCTGTGAAATTGCATTTTTTGTACATTTACAAAGCTTTAAGAAGAATTCTCTGTTAATGAGATTCTTTTTATTTTTTCTTTTTGTTCAAGTATTTGAAGCTCCCAGAATTGGAGGAATAAATTGAAGTATGCTAAACCAGAATAGAATATGGGAGAAAAGAAATAACCTTCAAGCTTTCAAGGAGCATGCTGCACCCGGGTTCTCCCTCCTCTTCCTCTGTTCACCTCCAGGCCTCTTTCCTCTTTATGCCCCCTCATCAGGTGCTGCTAGGCAAATATAACAGTGCGGGTGTGAGGTGACCTTTGACTCATCTTCATCGTAAAATATCAATCTACAATTGTTTCAAATTCCAGACAAGGCTTTTGCCTCCATTGTGATTCTTATCATGTCGTCTTAGCCCTGAGTTACAGTGTGGAGACTTTTATCAGCATCTTCAGTTTTGTCATGACCCTGATCTTCCTTCCCAAAGGCTTGTAATCGAAAGTGTTAGATGCTGTGCTCCCACTGAGCTCTGGTTTTATGAGGATGGATTTTCCACATTTCCCTTGTCTATCAGTGGCTAACGTCAGCCCAGGAATCTTGGCACACGACCGCTTGTTGTGACACCACATGCATCTGCAGTTAGTGACTTGCGGCAGGGGCACCTGTTAGTGTTTGCAGAGCTGTCAGTCTCAACTTGGGAGTTGTAGCCACTGCAGGGCTACCCATTTGCACCAGGGGTTGAATGCAGCGCATTTTATTCTGGTTCTGATCTGTTTCTAGAAAGTGTGCAATGTGGTGGACAGATTTGCATTCCTCGAGAGAGAAGCCAGGTCATGGATGATTTAATTGTTGACCCACAGAAGACAAGGACATTTGGGAGGGGATTTAGAAGGGAAGGTTTAAAAGAAACTAAACTAAGTATCATATCTCACTTACTTGTGGAATATAATGAACATAACAGTCTGAGGAATGGGGTAGTCCCAGAGACATGGAGGTGGGGTACAGGCTGACAGTCCTCAGAAGAGGGGGTGGTGGGGGAGAGATAAACCACAGAACATATATGCATGTGTGCATGAACAGTGGACATGGACAACAAAGCTGGGGACGGGGTGGGGAGGGAGGGGGAGGGGGAATCAGTGGGGGGAAAAGGAGAAACATCTGTAACAAAAATAAATTAATTAAAAAAATAAAAAATAAAAGAAACTAAACTGGAAAATGTTCTACGTGAAGTGAAAAGGTCACTTACCATTTTGGGGGGAGCTTCTTTGCAATCTTATTGATGGGGTTTTTTAATGTTGGGCGGTGGTCTCAGGCCATTTGCTTCAGTGTCAGGACACCAGTTTCTACCTTAAATGAATGGAGCTTTCAGCTGTAGATCTACACCTGTAGATTATTTATAGAAGTGTAATTAATCAAAATGTCCAGAACTATAAAAAGCTGCTTTGTAGTACAGCTGTCGCACAAATGCATGACAGACGTCACTTGTGGCGCCAATCCTCCGAGTGTCATTGACGCTGCCTCTGCAGTTATTTCCATGCTGCTGCTCAGTTAGACCTGATTGCAAACCCCCATATTCCCTTTTGGTGACGTGATTTACAGCTCTAATAAAAAAAAGCCCTGGGTTGCTCCGACTTTTGATTTCTGTAGTGATTTCCTGGTTTGTTGTTGTTATTTATCGTCTCGGTTTCTTTGCTTGAATTTTAGAATTTAAATGTGTCTGTATTATTAACGAAGTTCTTAGGCCAAAATGGAACTTAAAAACACTCAGAAAAGGTGGTGGGGTGTTAAGGATAGGTTAGGACTACCTACCATCCAAGAATTCAGAAGAGTGCATTGAAGTAGGCTTTCCATGTATATGGAGTCGTAGAAAGAGACCTATGATACGTGGAAGCAGTTGTGGGCAAAGTAACGTCAGGTCCTACAGTCCCCATGTCAGCTTTTACTAACCATTAAACATGTACAGGTGTTGATTTTTAATAATGTAGATGATTGATATGTCATTTAATGGTTTTAGGTACACTTGCCTTGTGATTCAGAATTATGTTGAAGAAGTCATTATTAGTCAACAAAGATATAAGGTTTTTCCTATTGAGATAATGTCATCAGGAACACCTGGCACTTCCCTAGCATTAGCTAAATTAATGAACGTCTCAAAAATTATACCTAGAGGAATAACTGTCTCAACACTTCTTGCAGAATACTAGGGGTCTTAAAATACATTGTCAGGTATACTTTCTTCATGTACTATGTTTCTTTTTAGAGTTTTCTTAAATCAGATTGTTAAATGAACTGAGCTTCTGTTTAAATTAAGGGATCTTTATGTGAGCCCTTATTTTGTTTTCCAATGTGTCTTAAAGAATGCTTCACCTGCCCTGGCTGGTGTTGCTCAGTGGTTAGAGCGTCAGCCTGCACACTGAAGGGTCTTACAGGCAGTTGTAGGAAGCAACCAATCCATGTTTCTCTCTCTCTCTCTCCCCCTCCCTGCCTTCTATTCTCTCTAAAAATCCATGGAAAAAAAATATCCTTGGGTGAGGATTAACTGGAAAAAAAAAAAAAGAATGCTTCACCTGACACCTACCTGCATAAAGTTTTTAAAATGCACATTTTTTGCCCTGGCCAGTTTGGCTCAGCAGTTAGAGCATCGGCCCACGGACCAGAGAAATCTGAGTTCAGTTCCCGCTAAGGGCACGTATTTCAGTTGCAGTTTGTCCCTGGCCCCGGTTGGGGTTGTGTTGGGTGGCAACCAGTCGATGTGTCTCTATCACATCGATGCCCACCCCCCCGCTCTGTCTGAAGATAAATGCAAAAATGTTTCAAGTGAGGATAAAAAATGAATAAAATAAATAAATGTACATGTACATTTTTTGGGGGTACATGCCGCTAGCGGGAAGCAAACCCGGGACTCTCTGGTCCGCACGCCGACACTCCAGCCGCTGAGCCAAACTGGCCAGGGCATTGTACATTTTTTAATGTTGCTGGTCAGCGAATTAAATAAATCGACTCTCAATTATTTGTCATTTATGAAAGTGATGCTTGTACAAATACATTTATTTTTTATTTTATTTTTTAAATGGGATTTCTAACATTGTTGAAAAAATTATAAAAATATATTTCAAAACCTTTTTTTTGCACTATGTGTATTTTAATGAGCAAAAGAGTATTGCTTCGAGTAACTTCAAATAAGTGTATTTAAGATGTTTTCTCCCAGAGGTGAGGCTGCAGACCCGCTGGAAGGAAGCCTTAAAACAAAAAGAAGCCCTGTTAACCCTAAGGTTGCTAAGAGAGGACAGAAGTGCATTTGGAAAACTGTATGTGAACAGGGGCATCGTGTGTGTGTAGTCATACTCTCCTCCTCTGGCTTTGCCCAGAGCAGAAGGGCAGCCTTTAATTGAGCAGAGATAGAAGGGGGCTTGGTAGTTAGCTCAAGAGAGTTGTTTGGGAATATTAAAAATGTAATTTAATAAATTTTGGTCTCCAAGAAGGGGGTGGAGACAACCAGGTGTCTTTTAATAGTCCTTCTCCCCTAAGAGGCTTCCTGAGTTAGAGCTGGGCACATGACAACTCAGTTAGTGATTCTGTTTCCTTCCTTGCCACTGGTGTGGTCACGTGGCTAAGTCCTATATGATGGGAAGTGAGTGAAAGGTACTCTGTGCACTTTCTGGATCAAGTCTTCAGAAAGAAGGTACTTGCCATCTTGTTATTCTGCTGCCCATTGGTTAGAAGGTGCTCAAAACCTGGAGGTAGCTGTGTTGGACCCAGAGCTGAAAGTTGTGTGATGGAGATACAGATGCTCCACAACTCCTGGATCTTTCCTTCAGGGCAGCAGCATGAGAAGGAAATGTCTCTTATTTAAGCCTGCCCTATATTAAATAACGGACAGTTCTAAAACCTGGAGAAAAAGGCTTGAGAGTTATTCTGGCATTACTTAGATTTGAAGCACTGGAACTGGAAGCTGAATGCTCCTTTTTACTGGGCTTAAAAACAAGTGAATTTCAAAGTGATTGTCTAATAGGGTATGGAAGGAAAATTAAGGATTACTTTTCAAGGTAGGAGATTGACAACACTTTTATTTAGAGGTAAGTTAATGTTTCTAAATATGTTTCTTTAAAAATCTAAGACAACTGGTAGGCCATGCTTTACTTTCACTAGTTAGGGACTGAGCACATATATGTTGTTAGTTATTATTCTTTCTGTAAATCTTGCTCTAAGACAAAATGTCTTTTACTTTGTACGTATAGTGATGAAGAGCCATTGATGCTTGTGCTCTGTTCGTATTAGAAGATACACACTGTGTGATAGCTTACCTGAATTGTAGGCATCGAAGGCAGCCTAGAAGGAACTACAGTCGCATACTTTCTTACCTTACCAATGTAGATATAACTTGGTTTTTTTAGTCATTAGCATTTATTAAGTACTTCAGTTTTTTTTTGTTTTTCTTTTTTGTCTTATGTACCCAACATTTGGAAAGTTGGCTGATATGTAAAAAGAAATAACTTTTCTCTTTTCAATTGTATTTAATAATGGATATAGGGAAGATAATATATTTGCAAGTGACAAAAGCAACAGACCTATTTTATAAAGTTGGTGTTTCCAGTGAGAAAAGCTGGGTCACTGAGCACACTGCCGACACAGTTAGCTGTCCTCTGGAAGTAACTGAAGTCTTAGAGCATCTGAAAAATAACTTCCAGATGGATTAAAGACTTAAATTTAAGAAAGGAAACAGTAAATCTTAAAGAAAAGGAGACTTCTTGTATACTTCAGGGGTTGGAGACACCTTATAGAAGACTGTAAATCCAGACTCTTGTTTTCTTTTTGTTGTTATTTTTTTAAATGATGGACATATTAGGCTACACAAAAAACAAATAATTCAGTGGCACAGTAAGTTAATAGAGAGACTGTAGATTTAGAGAGATGACTAGAGTTTATATTTATAATAGACAAAAGAATCCTTAATTTGACAAGACAAGCCATCCAACAGAAAAAAAATAGGAAAAACACATAAATGTTTCACAGGAGAGCAAAGCCAAAGCCAAACTGCCAGCAAACCTATGAAATAATGCTCAAAGTTTAGCAGTAAGAGAAATACTACCTGAAGTAACAATATGTTACTATTAGTTTTCTCTTACTGCATAACAATTTACCTCAAATTAGAAACAGTCCTAATGTGGTTTAGTTTTTGTGGGTCGAGAGTCAAGTGTCACTTAGTTGGGTCCTCTTCTTACAAGGCTGTACAAATATGGCCATCTTTTCTTTTTAAACTTTTTAATTTTTGGCAGCTATGTTCTCTGGGTCTTCTTCTGACCTTACATGATGTTTGGCAGAATTTCATTCCTGAGTCGCCCGTGGTCCTGCTAGTTTGTCATTGGGGAGCACTCTGATATCTTAGAGCCCCTACTTGACCCCTCAAGTGGTCCTCTCATACATGGCATCCTCTAAACCTGCCGTCTAGTCTCCAGCTCCAGTCTGCAAACAACAAAATATAATCACGACAGTGACTGTCTTGTCATCTGTAGACACAAGTCACAGCTTCTGCTCATACTCAGATGTGACTCATCGGCAGCCATCTTAGGGTTCTTCCTACCCCAGTCATTGTGTATCCCTTAAATTGAACATGATTCTAAAAAGGTGAAATGTGAATACTCATCAGAAGAGGGAATGGTTGGACAGAACCCGCTATACCACAGAATGTTCTACTCCTTTACAAAAATTAACTAAATGCTAATTAACTTGAAGAGATCTGTCAGAGATATTGTCCAATGAGACAGGCTAAATGAAGAAGAATAATCTAATTATTTTTAGGGGAAGGGAGTATAAGCTCCCATGTGTATATGTATGTTTGTGTGTCTATGTGTGATCACGTGGTTGTCAAGAAAAATACGAAACGTATATACTAAATTTTTAACTTGGGGAGACTATTGATGAAGATGAAAAGAGGGTGCCAAGCAGAAGAAGAAAAGAGAAACAATTGTGTTGAAAAGAAACATCCTCTCTCCATAAGTTACGTGTGTGAGATATGGACATATTTGTGTATTTATGTATGTCTTTGTTTCTGTGTATACAGAATATTAATACTATACTCATAAATGGACTAATATGAGAGTATTCCTACTTTTTTACATAGAACTTGTAAAATGGATAGTGAATATTTATAGAGTGCTTTATTTAGCTATTATATGTTTTGTGTTGTTAAAGTATATTAACTTTAAAGTCAGTAACTGACTTTTAGGTGCCTTGATACAGAACAGGGGAGCGAAAACAAGTGGAGGGGATCTGGAAGTATGGACTAGATGTTTAGACATTTCTTCTTTATTTAGCCCTACTAGGGTTGGAGGAAACACAAAGCCCTTAATAAAACTGTGAAGTCTGGTTTAAAATTGTTTATATATCTAAAATTATGTAACTTTAGTTTCTATAATCACAGTTCTATTTTGACAAATCTTCCACATTGGGGAGTTCTGCACAACTGGATGGAACATGTAATTTTTAAATACGTTTTGTTTTAGTGTCTTTTTCTGAAGAAGAGAAATATCAACTGCGAAAATTTGTCCATAAATCTTACCTGCTGGACAAGAGAGCCCACCGTCAAGTGTACTACAGTCTGGCAGATATCCTTCTGGCATACTGCTATGAAACTCGTGTCAACGAAGGAGAGAAGACTGTAAGTGCCCGTGTGTCTGCATCTCTGGCCTAGACGCCTGCACCGAGTGACTGTACGACTTCACTACTGTCGAGACTAAGACCTGTTGTGGTCACTTACTCAGAGGATGCTTGGGCCTGACTTGCCACATGTCTGCTGGTGGTGGATATCGCCATGAAAGCATAATGCTTAGTTGATTTCTTTCTCTTCTTCCTTGGCATCAGTCATTACAAACAGCAAAGTGGGGAGTGAAACTGAGGGTAGAAAAAAAGGACCTTTAAGAGATAAATTGGCCAAATAAGAGGGCTGTTGCCACATGACACTTGACATTGGCAAGGGGTAAACTTTGCCAACCCATTTATATTCTTTCTCTGAGCTGTCAGTTAGCAGATGCAAGGTATGGGAATCTTTTAAAGAAATCCTATTATAAAAGTAAACCTATTTGTAAAGTACATTAGTAGTCTTAAGTGATATTCTTTCTAAATAATGTACACTTTATTGTATCTCTTCTTAAACCACATTTAATTTTGTAAATGAAGAGTTAATCTTTTTTTCTCACCTATATAAAAAAAAGCTGGAAAACAAACAAAAAAACCACAAGTCTTTCTGGTTAATGTGCCCTTCAGCTCTTTATAACTGTGCTTGTTCAAAAGGCTTTTCTTGAGCTGAGCATATGCTTTTTTTAAATACACAAATACTTTGTATCATTGTAAAGGGAAATACATACATGAAGAAAATCGTGAACATTTCCTATAATCTCAGCATCAGAAAAAGCCACTGTTATAAGGTGATATATCTCTTTCACTCTCTTTCATTTTGCACATGTATGTATTTTTCTTTCATCTGCCTTTCTCACTTAACATCATAGCATTAGCATAGTTTTAGGAGTAGGATTTTATATGTGCCAAATTTTTTGTTGTTATGATTCTGAAATTTTCAAATGTGACTCTTAATAATTTGTGACTTCTTAATAATTTAGTGACTTCTCTCTAAAAAGAATATTAATGAGTGTATCCAGGGCCTAATATAACTGAAAATGCTTTTTTGTTTCCATTCATTTTTTTAAAAGATACTACATGGAGAAAATGTTTTCTTTGGGAAAAAAAAAAAAAAATGCTTCATATTATTGCTTGAGAATATAAATAAATGAGTGATTAGATTTACTCAGTAAAATTTATTCTTTGTTCTTATATTTGCATATTTGAAATCATGAAGACTTGCAACTTCAAAGCCTCTTTAGTATTTACTCATTCTTAGAAGCATTCTCTGCCTTCTCAGCCGCAGGCAGCACATTGATGTTCCCTGTGAGCCCTGGCAGATTATCTGTAGAATGTATGGGCGGCAAGTTACTTAGTTGAGAAGGACAGAAGTTGAGTGAGCATTGCTTTAATTTTGCTTACTAGGCCCCTGCTTATTTGCTCTTGTGTCCTGGGACTCTTATCAGTGGAAAAGCATTTATTAAGCTTTACTTTATGAAATCCCAAGGAAAGTAGACAGAAACTTGTCTTCGATAGCATCTGCATCAAGTGGAGCAATTATTTTTTTTGCAATCATAGTCATTTCTTAGTTCTTATATATATCAACATTACTCATATACTAGTTGAATAAATGGATATATTTGCTTTATTTTTATATGTTGACCTCTAGTGTGACAGTACTCTTTTCTCTAAAACAAAAAAGGTTGAATCTGCATGGAATATCAGAAAACTGAGTGCAACGCTGTGTTGGTTTGAGGTATGATTTTTTTATTGCAATTGTCTAGATTTGTTTGTTTAGAAAGTTATTTTTTTGTTGTTGTTGTCCTTAGTTCATTTTGGGTAATAGAAGGAATACCTTGACTTTTTTAAAAGTGGAAACTTTATTGTACAAGTGTGTTTTCCACTTTTAAAATAAAATTCTAATTCTATTTGTTACCCTTATTCTAATTGTACTTTACTAATGAAGCCAGATGGGGTATTTTGGAAATCAAGAGAAGGAAACACACTTTGGAGAAAGAATGGGCATGTGGTCTGCTGGGGGAGCCTGGGCTGGAGTTGCAGGCATGTCTGTGAGCTGACGTACAGTGAGGCTTGGAGTTCCAGGCTGGGAGTCAGTCCCAGGCGGTAATGCTACCGTTGCCCCCCAGGGTTTGTGATAGCATTTTACATGTGTTACCTCTCTAATTCCTTTCAATAGGTCTGTGAGAAGTATTATTAATATTTTACAGACTTCCACTTAGATCATATAGCTTAAATAACTTCTAGGTCCTACAATTACTATGGTTATATCTGATAAATATTTTAATATAGTAATAATTGCTTTTAGCTACATTTTCTAGAAAATAGTCATGTATGTCTTACCAAAAATATCAAAGGATAGTATCTTTATTATTATTATTTTTTTATCCTCACCCGAGGATTTTTTCCATTTTTTGTACAGATAGAGTGGGAGGGAGAGAGAGAGAGAAACATCGACATGAAGGGACACATCGAGTGGTTGCCACCCGCACGACCAACCAGGGCCGGGGACAAACTGCAACCGAAGTACGTGCCCTTAGCGGGAACCGAACCCGGGTCTCTCCGGACCGCAGGCCGACGCTCTAACCGCTGAGCCAAACTGGCCAGGGCCAAAGGATAGTATCTTTAAATTTACCTGTTTTGAACAAACTTGAATATCAAAACAGATTCAAAGTAGAAGCTTTAAAAAGTGTCATTTTAAATAGTTGATAATTGTATCAATTAAGACAAATAGTTTACTTCACTTTGTTGAAGTAAAAGATAAGATGTAAACAGAAAATGAAATATTCAGCTTTATCAGAGAATCTTTGTACTCCAAGAATGGTCCATGGACCAACAGTTTGACCAATGTTCTTATCTGGGAGTTGGTTACTAGCACAACGAATGTCAGTACAGAGTCACCGAGTCAGAGTCAGTAGCAAGATCTCCAGGGATTTATGTGTATGTTAAACATGGAGAGGTGCTGTTCTCTAGACTTCATTTAGGTTCTGCAGACTGCCGTGATCAATATGTAATGGAGAAGCTGATTTTTGCAATAATTGAATTAATTGCAGAGTTGGTGATTAATTTTACAGTTCATTTATTAAAATCCACTTGAATAACTTCACCTATTTATGATTTTATATTGGAATTTTTATTGTTTTTGAGAGAATTTAAAATTGCCAGACATGTTAATAGCTATCAAATTTTTATAACTATTTCATTTTTGATAGAAATTTTTTAAAGTTCATAACTCTTTTTAGATATAAACTATTCTTTGTCATATACTCAGTATTCTTAATCAGATCTCTCATTCATTAAGAATTAATATACATGGAAATTATGCTGTTCTCTTAGTTTTAATTTTATATTTTAAGTTTTACTTATGGGTAAAATTTTTTATCAAAACTCTATTTAAAACCAGTTTTTTTAGAAAAATCACCTTTGTCTAGTGATTTCAGTAAGTTTTGAATTGCTAATGGTATCGATTTAATACTAGTCACAATAAAGCACTCTTTTTTCTAGAAATTACTAGTTTTCTCTTTGATGAGTAAAAATAAATTACTGAAATAAATACCATATATTACTCATGCCCAAAGTAAAAAAAAAAAAGAGCGAGTGAACACACGTCACTGAAAGTTCTACACCTTTCATCTGCCCTGTCTTGAAGGTCCTGAAAGACAAAAACATGAAACAGGTCATTTAGAAACGTCTTTCATGTGCATGTGGGTTTGGTTAGTGCCACCTGTTTCAGGTTCACGTTTATAACTCTTAAGAGACTTTTAAAAGCTTTTCTACTACATATGTGATTTTTAAAGGGCATTTGTGATGTTTTGATAAAATATGAGAAATTACAAAGGCTAATAAGATTAAATTATTGTAAGATGTACAAAAAGTCTCATTTGATGGTTTTATATTTCTCTTCTACTTGGCTTCATGACGATCCAAACTTTTAATTTTTAATGGAAATATTTCATTATGTGCTTTTGTTTGTATAATGTGGAAATGATTACTTATTTAACTGATACTTCACAGACTTGGACTAATGTTCATGAAGTCCTGGTGTCTTTTGGAAGAAGAGTTCTGTGCTACCCACTTTACCGCCATTTCAAGCTGGTGATGGAAGCCTACAGAGACACTGTGAAGATATTGCAACTAGGTGAGAAATTATTGTGCTTACAGGTTGTGAATGAAAAGTTGTAAGTTTTTAGTCTGAGGGAGTAATCCTGATTTTTGCTTTTTCTCTCTACATAAATAATGAAAATCATTCATCCAACCACTTTTTCTCCTGGGTATATATAAAGGAATAGTCCCTCTGTTCAGATATATAGTCACATAAGTATGGTACTCTTTCTGAAAGAAGTGGGGAGGTAAATCGAGAAGGTGCATCCCATATTCCAAAGAATTCTCTATTGTAGTAGATTGCATCATTCAGTATTTCTTGGATGCCTGTAATTTCTAGGCACTGTGCTAGTTAGCTAAATCTGTGGGCATAATAACAAATAAATTTCCTGCTTATGTGAAGTTCACAGTTTCACCTGGATGACAGATGATACATAAGAAGCAATTCCAATATAGAGTGAAGTGTGCTTTGCTGGGGGAAGTACAGCGATTCTCTGTACAGAAAGAGGCATGGGATCCTGGACTTGGGACATTAGGAAAGGCTTTCCAAAATAAAGCACAGCCATTCTGAGGACTTTTTATTTTTTTATTTTTTTCTGTTGATCTTAGAGTAAGGGAACGAGTGAGAGAGAGACTGCCTCCTCCCTGGCCTGGGATGGAAACCAAAATCTGGGCATGTGCCCTGACCAGGAATCAAACCCATTGCCCTTTGGTGTATGGGATGACACTCCACCCAGATGAGCCACACCAGCCAGGACTTTTGACTAGTGCTTCATCCAACCTAAAAAGACAGCTATTCATTATTTTTAAGGATGAAGAAAGTTCTAATCTCTGAAACAAATTCCACCGCGATAGAGTGAAGCTGCGAAAGTCGAAGCCAAAGTCGCCAGGGATGAGTGTATATAAATAAAGAATTCTGCTTTGTGGAAATTCATTTATTGTGGTAGAGTCTGAAACTGATTAACCGCGATAAACGAGGGCCGACTGTGTAACAGTGTCATTGGATTAAATATAGAATTTCTAAGGTAATGACTTTGATGGGGATGGCATCCATTTCTAGTTCTGGCACATTTATTTAAAAGTCATCTTCAATATTTTATGGTAATTTCTTATATTCTCTCCTGGGGAGTCATCATTTCTTTGTCCTTAGATATAAGTAAGTGCTCTTGGGGCCTAATTTTCACACTTCAGGATAAAAGGGGGAAAGAAAGAAAAATCTTTCCATACATCCAGGTGACTTCATTGGCTCAAAGGGAAAAATTACATGTAATGTTTGTCCCTCCTATAGGTGTATGTACTTGGGCTTTTCTCTTGTGTAACGTATAATCTTCTTGCCCTGGGGGCGATCGTGTTTGGAGTAAATTCTTTGAAAGTAGACAATAATTGTGCCCGGCTAGTGTGGCTTAGTTGGTTGAGCGTCGTCTTGTGCACTGAAAGGTTGCTGGGTGGACTCCCAGTCAGAAGGCTCTCACATAGATGTGTGTGTGTGTGTCTGTCTCTCTCTCCCCCCCTCCCCTTTTCCCTCTCTCCCCTCTTTTCCCCTCTCCCCTCTCTTCTTCCCTCTCTAAGCTCATCCTCAAGTGAGGATGAAAAAAATAATAAAGTAGACAATAATTATAAAAATTAATCAGTTAAATGAAAGATACCTCTTTATTTATCCCATTCGTTTAAACTAGTGGTATTTTATTCTAAAGGGTTGTTGATTATAGCACAGCAGAACCACTACTTTTGAGAAATCTGTCTTTAATTGAAATCTGTCTAATTTAACAGTGGGAAACAAACAGCTTTGATTTTTCATGTTATTTCTTCTTGCCTTCTAGCCTGTATTTTCTGAATTTTAAAAATTACCTTCAAGCCTGGCCGGTGTGGCTCGGTGGTTAAGCATCGACCCCTGCACCAACAGGTCACTGGTTCGATTCCCAGTCAGGGCACATGCCCAGGTTGTGGGCCAAATCCCTAGTGGGGGGCATGCAAGAGGTGGCCAGTCGATGTTCTCTCTCATCGATGTGTCTATCTCTCTCCCTTTCCCTTCTTCTCTCTCTAAATTCAATAAAGAAAAGTAATTTTTTAAAAAATTACCTTCAAAAGTTAATATACTACAAATGACTGCTGAACTGGAGTTATCACACATCACAATTAATTTCTTGTTTGTTATGCTAGAATATCTGTTCATTCTAATGTTCCCATAGTTGAAAGTAATAAATAATTCAGAGAAGTTCAATTATTTGCCCAGGGGCACACAGTTAATGGTTGGTAGACCCTGGATTTAATGCCACGTCTGTTTGACTCAGAGTCTGTGCCCTTTGTAGTATTGAAATAGTTAGAGATGAAATTATATGAAGCCTGGGGTTTACTTTAAAATAATGTAGAATGGGCTGGGGCAAAGTGGGCAGGGTGCAGATGAAGCCAGGCCAGCCGCAGGTGAGGGCTGCCTGGAACTGGGTAGTGAGTGCTGGCGCGGTCCACATCCTGTCCTCTCTTTTTGTACGTTTTTTTACTTTTCCTTTATAAAATGATTGTTTTTAAGTCTGGACTCTTATCTACTATGCTTCTTTGTTTCAAAATTAAATTTGTTCATCATTTTGTGGAACTATTGTAATTTTGTTGTATAAAGTTTTTTTTTGTTTTTTTTTTTGCTAATAACACATTTAAAATTAGTTGGTTTTTTTGTTTGTTTTGTTTTGTTTTGTTCTGTTTGTAAGGCTAATAGAAAACTACCTTTCTATAAACATTAGAGGTCTGATAACTAGTAACCATATGGCAGGCTATCACCCAGTAAAGAGTCTTCAGGAGGTTAGTTATTTTTACCAATTAAAAACTGGTTTTACTTCATATAAATAATAACTCTTACATATGTCATCACTGGGTTGAATAATTAATTTTTTAGAAATAACGGCTTTACTAACCTCTTCTGTAGATAGATACAATAACACAGTCAGTGTAAAAGGAAAGAATAACCATAGTACAGGGGTTGGAGGCTGATCTTTTTCTTTAAGAAAATTTTTTTTTTCAAGAAATTGAGGTATGGCAAGTGTATTGTGTGAGCACTGAATTCTGATCTAACCTTGAAGATGAATTTGTTTTTAGCATTTGAATCTATATAGTCCAAAGTCCAAATGCTTTTTTTAAAATCCTCACCAGACGATATTTTTCCATTTATCTTCAGATAGAGTAGGAGGAAGGGAGGGAGAAAGAAAGAGAGAGAGAAACATTGATATGAGAGACACACATCAATTGATTGTCTTCCGCACAACCCTGACCAGGCCGGGGACCAAACTGCAACTGAGGTACATGCGACTCTTTGGTCCATGGGCCTTCGCTCTAACCATGGAGCCAAACCAGCCAGGGCCCAAATGCTTTTTATTGAATTGTAAAGATTACCCAAAACTTCAAAAGTAAAAGATGAAATCGCTAGGATTTTCCACTGTTGACATTTATCTGTGTTTAATTTTATGAATTCCCAGTTATGGACATGTTAGACCTTTTAATTGTACTCCCCAAGTATATTAGGTAATATTATTTCTAGAGTGATATACAAGTATTTTTTGAGTACTTCCTATGTCAGGGTACAGAGCTGGGTCTGGAAATGCAATAGCAAGCAGGAGGAATTTGACTCATGCCCTCAGGGAGCTTAAAGTTATAAGGGGTGTTTGGGTGGGCAGGGAACTTGCACAACTACCAGGCTGTTAAAAAATTGCATTCATGGTACGTAACTCAAAGGAGAAATATAGTGGGTGAAAATATAAAGCCAGGGAAGCTGACTTACCTTTAAGTCACTTAAGACAGACATGTTGCCTCCTACAGAAGGCTCTGCCTGAGTTGACTTCACATTCTCAGTTCCTACTACAGTTTTCTATTCTAAAGTACTTGTTTATATATGATGACTTCCTCTATTAACCTTCTCATTCAACAGGTATTTTATTAGTACTTACTGAAAAGACATTTATTATGTGCAGAGTATCTTATAAATATGAAGAGCAGCAGAAATGAGATTTATGTGCTGTATTTGGGGGAGCATGTATCCTAGTAGGGTAGTGAAGATGTCCATCAATACATAAAATACACAGTGACAGTGGTAAGCACCTTACATGAAATGCAGACTAAGTAGTTCATAAAAGGGACAGGTGATGGTATTTCACTAGAGATCAGTAAAAGCCTGATTCAGGACATGAGATTTGATAGTGAATGCACGGAAGTGGGAGCAAAAGAGCCCATAGCCGAGAGTCAAGCCCAGGAGAGAACTCCTTTGTTTAGGAGATTATGTATTCCCGATTTCCATGCACTTGCAGTTGCCACGCCCATACTGGCCAATGATCTCTATCCCCAGTTGTGATTGACAGGCAAGTACCTTCCCTGTGTCACCCCAACTTGACTGAGCATGCATCCATCTTCCTTTTGTTGGATCCCTTCCCCTGGTGTTTTGTGGGGAATAGGCTGGTGGTTCCCTGCGGAGTGCAGAGTTGCAGCTTCCTGGTGAAGCTGCCCAAATGATGTGCCTTATAATGTCTGGCCTTCCCTTTGCTCCTTTCCTATTAATAACTAGCTAATTATAATGGTGTCAGTTTCATCCGTGAAAATGTGGAGTTGGTGTGCTGTGTGACCCTGAGATTTGCCCTATAGCCTCTAAAACTAATTGATAGTTCCTTTCCTATCTGAATTAACTGTTCACCAGATTGATTTCTCAACTTTTAAAATATTATCACTTAATTCCCTGCTCCCCACACAGGAGATGATAATTCTTACAATCTGTTTTCTCCTCATTCTAAATTGTTCTTGATCATTTTACTTCCTAGTCAGTTCCCCATTGCAATTAAAATGTTTCTTCTAAGAATGGAACATTCATAGTGATTTCAGGAAATTGAAATAGCATTGAATTCAAATCAAATATTGAAGTATTGTTTATGAAAGGGGCAGAAGAGAATAATAGAATAATAGAGAACTAATCATAGTGAGACACTAGCCATAGCTACAAGAAATGCTCAACATCCTTGCTCTGTTAATTGTGATTGCTTTGCTCTGACTAAAGAAAGCCTGTTC